TGGGCAGTGGATTCTACAGGGTCCTAGGCTGTAGTGACAGAGAGCCAGGGAGCTACCAGGTACAGCTGAGGCAAGGTGCTCTCAGGTTACACCTGTGTGCAGCTGGCTGCCACAGCAGACCTGGGCTGGGAAGATGTGAGGCCACAGGAGGTGACCGTGTAACCTGTAGCGATTATTGTCATCGCTGTGGTGCAATATACTGAACAACTATTCTGAAACACCCATCCCTGAAGCAAATACATGGCTAGAGTCTGTCTGTGAAATGGGTACAGAAAACCAAGTGCATCCTCCCTTCCTCATTCTCCCAGTTTTCAAGGCTCTCTGTGCCAGGAGCTGGGGATAAAGAAGGAAGACACAGCCTCAGCCCTCAGGAAGCTCATGGAAGGGAGCTAACAGTTTTCTTTACAGCCAGCCAGGCCAGCAATTCCACCCCGTTTTCATCTGCCTGGTTCCTTTCTATTCAGTCCTTTTCTGTAATTTACCTAAACATAGCTCTGCCATTAATTCGCCCAGGTATCTTCTCTCCTTAGCCTGTTTCTCATCCTGGAAACTGACGTGTGTTGGGGGGTACAGGGGTTGGCAGGGGAGCCTGATCTGTGTATTGCTGAAACTCTGGGTAGCTCTGCTATTCTTAAATTATTTTTGAAGATCCTTAGGGGCAAATCTTTAAATAAATTCTATCTGATCAAAAGAAAATTAAAAACCAACCAACCCACTAACCCTGATGAGTTCTAAAGACAGTAAACGCACACAAGACCTGGAAGGAGCCTCGTCCTCACCAGGGTTTTCCTCCCTCCCCAGAGTGGCACCTTCTCCTCTCCGCCCGCAGCCCCCGGGGTTGACACCCTTCCGCGCCCTCCGCCTCCCCTCCTCGCCGTGCGGGAGGGAGGTGGTGGTGGAGGGGATCTGCGCCCGGCTTGGAGCAGAGAGGACGGGCAGGAGTGGGTTAATCCCTGGCTGGGTGCCCGGCGAGACGGAGCACCTCCGCGGGAGGAGGCCCGGCCGCTCGGGGGCCTGGGGCGCAGGCGACGGCGCAGGAGCACTCCCCGCCCCCGCGACGCCCACCGGCGCGCCCCGCCCGGCGCGGCCCGAACGCGCGCACCCGAGGCGGGCAGGCGCCTCCAGGTGGCAGAGGCGGGAGAGAGCCAGAGAGCCGGTAAGGGGCTTCGAGAAGGAAGCCGCGGCAGCGCCCCCACCCGCCCAGGCCCGGAGCCCCCTGCGCACTCGGTTTTGGGTAAGAGGGAGGGTCCGCATCTCTGCAGCTCGGGCGGGGCGGCCCAGCGCCCTGTGCTCGGAGGGTTTGGCCGGGCGCGGCCCCTTCGCCCAGTAGCCGGGGTAGGGTGGGGAAGGGGCATCGCACCCTGTAGGCCGAGCCCTGTGGCCGCGGCAGGATAAAGGTAGGAAGCCGGGCCGATCTCCACCCGCTGCCCTCCCGGTTCCTCCGCCCGCGTCTCCAGCGGCACGGTCTGGCCTTTATTATTCGGAATAATGTGCCCGGCGGGAGGGGGCCCGGGGCTGAACACGCAGCCCCGAGGCTCCCAGGTGATTTCCGGCGCATTTTACGGAAGGGGACCCAGGCCCCAAGATGGGAAGGAACCGGCCAAGGTCACATCGTAGTTAAAGGCCAGGACCCAAGCCCGTAGCCCTGCCTCCCAGCCCCGGGCTCTAGGTGCTGCTCCCTTCCCCACCGCATCTCCCCGCTTCCGATCGCGCCCTCCCCTCCCCCCGCGTCCTCCTTCTCGGGGTCTGGGGGATGCTCCCTCCGCGCCCGCTGAGCCCTCGGGAAGGATTCCCGACCGCGGTCAGGCCGCCAGTCGCACGCCTGAGCAAGACCCGAGCCGGCGGTTACTGGAGGGCGCGGTGGGTCGCAGGGCAGGGCCAGGAAGGAGGAAGAGGAGGGTGCCGCCGGAGTGGCTGCGGGCTGGGGTCGGCCGGGTAGGGCCGAGGCCTGAGTCACTGCGGCTCGGTGGCGCTGGTACTAGGGGGCTTTGTCTGGGCGGCGCCGCCGCACCCAATGAGGAGCGCGGCCCTGGCCTGGCCCCTCTGGCTCCCCGCCCGCCGGCGGACAGCTAGGGACCGCGGCGCCGGGATTGGCTGCGCTGCCCACGGCGCCTGCGCGCTGGGGTGTCCGCGCGGTTCGCCTGCGTGCTGGAGGGTGGCTGAGATCGCGTGGGTCTAGGCATCCTGATGGGGCCGGGGGTGGGGGGTCCTGAGTGTGCATCCTGCGCTGGGCCACTGCAGGACTGCGCCCAGTTGGGGGAGGGGATTGGCGCTGAGCTTGGCGTTAAATTCTGCGGCTTTTTCCAGCCAGTCAGCCAACTGCCCACAGTCAGCTGATGCAGAGTCACCCCGCCGTTCTTACTTTGAGGGGTTGCAGAGGGCATATATTCCATCACAGAAGACTGCCTGCAGGCCTACTGCCGCCAAGATCTGCTGTGATGAGCAAATGCCTTTCCTTTTAATAGATCCGTTGGAGCCCGGCCCTGTACAAAGCATATATACACCTGGCAGACAAAAAGCTGACCTTTGAAATTTGCATAGCTTTCATATTCACTCAACACACCTTTACAGAGTCGCCACTTCCTGGCGAGTAGATATTTTGAAGAGCCAGAAGACAGTGATTCAACATAAGGATCCTGTCTGTGGGGTGTTCACGGTGCATGTGGGGATTGGTGGTTGGGGGCTTGTGACTGGTTATAAACAAAAATCCCTCTATTACTATCCTGAGTAGGAAAGTGATATTACAAAGGCACAGAAGGAAGTAGATTGGGCAAAAGATTGATTTTTTATTTTGGTGGTTAGGGAAGGCAGCTTAGAGTAGGTGTTATTTGAACCAGCTAGGGTTGGGGCACATGAAGACAGATTTGGTCTAGCATGGGAGTACAGGGCTGGAGCACCTGTTGGAAAGTACAGGGCTTCTTGAGGGATGGTGCAGCCAATGGGTTAATAAGAGTACTCGAGAAAAATATAGTTGGAGATGTGATTTGCAGGGGCCAGGCGAGGACTAGGTATACTCTGATTTGAAATGTCATAAACACTTGTGAATAGAAAGGCTCCTTAATTTATCACTTGTGCTAATGTCTTTTTTTTTTTTTTTTACTTCTAGCCTAAAAATCTTGGAACTGTCTTTGATTCTTTCTTCTTTCACTTCCCGCATTCAGTCTGTTGGTAAATGGTGGTCAGTTCTACCTTCAAAATAAAGCCAGACTCTGAACAAGTCTGATTAGAAACCTCATAGTTTCTACTAGGGCTAGCAACCTTTTTACACATTTCTAAAGAGCACCTTTTCACATTTCACTGGAGTTGTGCAGTGTACAACCTGCATAGCTATACACTGCGGCCCTGGATTACATCCATAGCTTCTAACTGGTCTCCCTGCTTCTGTTCTTGTCCATCCTCAATCTGTTATTAACCCAGTGAAAGTTATCTTATTAAAATGTAAGTTTTGGCCGGGCGCGGTGGCTCACGCCTGTCGTCCTAGCTTTCTGGGAGGCCGAGACGGGTGGATAGCTGCTGCTTCAGGGGTTCGACACCAGCCTGAACACTGCCTGAGCACAGTCAGACCCCGTCTCTAAATCTAAAAAAAAAAGTAAAAAAGGCAAAAAAAATACACAAAACACAAAACAGCCGGGCGCTCTGGCAAGCGCCTGTAGTCCCAGCTACCTGGGAGGCTGAGGCAGAAGGATTGCTCACAGCCCAGGACCTGGAGCTTGTGGTGACCCGCCCTCACTGCACTCTGCCCAGGACGCCGAGTGACACTCTGTCTCCACAAAAAAAAAAAAAAAAAAAAAATTTAAGTTTGCTCATGGTACTCCTCTGCTTAAAACTCCTTATTGAAATATTATGCGCCTATTGTGGGCAGAGTACTGTACTATGTGTTGGAGATACAACAGTGAACAAAACAAAAAATCCTCTTCTCAGAGAGCTTGCATTTTAATGGGACTGAAAGATAACAAATAAGATAAATAAGTACAATATGTAAAATGGTATGATGTGGTAAATGCCAAGGAGGGAGGAAAAAAAAAAGGAAGCAGAGAAGGGAGATAGAAATGTCAGGGTGGAGGTGGAATTGATGGGTGGCCAGGGGATGTCTTACTGAGTAAACATGTGAGTAGAGGACTGACGTGAGCCTGGTGGATATTAGGGGAAGAGTGCTCCAGGTAGAGGGACTAGTAAGGGCAAAGGCCCTGAAGCAGGAGCTGGTCTGTTCCCAGGATAGCAAGAAAGCCACTGTCACCAAAATCTGACCTACCTTCAGTGTGTTTTAGTCGATACTGTTTTGGCACCAGGTAACAGAAACTTTAACCTCGCTTCAGTAACACAGAGAATAAAGACACAGCATGCCTCACAGAGCTGGAAGACAGGAGGGCAGCTGCTGCTGTTGCTTTTCCCTCCTTCTCTACCTCCATCTCTTTTGCTTTCTGCATGTGTTTCTTACTCTCCTCTCTCTTTCTCTCTGCAGATTGGATTGGCTTTCTCCCTCTCTTTCTCTGGCTCTAGGGCCCAATGTAGTGTAGCTGCCCTCCCCAGCAGCCAGAGCACATGTCCCTGCCCCACAGAGGCTGGTTGGCATTCTTTCACAGTGCCAGGGGACAGAATGATGGGTTCCTCTTGAGTCTGGTGTCTCTCCCTGGCCCAGTCCTCCCTGGCCAAGGGCACAGTCTCTCAGTCCAGCTACAGCTGCAGAGGCCAAATCCATGTGGGACGAGCAAGGCCGAGAAGAGAGGGGTCAGGTGAGCAGGACAGACCTCCAAGAAGTGACCACTGCAGAGAGTGCTTGTGATGTGTTATCTGAGAAGAACTGGCCATCACCCAAGTCTGATCTGGTGACTAGAATGTTTCTCAGACTAATCAAGGTGTCTGCATTAGGTGTGCCTTTGCTGAATTGGACTATGCAGTCAAATCCTTGGTCTCTAATGAAGTTCTCTTTGAAACAAGTTATACAAGTTTCACCTGCACTTACGATAACATGGTGGTAAGAACATTGTCTACCGTATCACTTTATGTTCCTATATAATTCTTTTGTTCCAGTATCATTACCTCTCAAAGGAATGATAGATGTCTTTCTGAATGAGCACTTTAAAACTTGTCAGGTTTCCCTTTTGGGTGATCTCAAGGATGGTCCCCTTAACTGTGCAGTTATCATACATAGCTGAGCTGGGCTGGAACTTTCAAGCACGACTATACTAAATGATCAGAGGGGAAGTGGCCAAAGGATAATATATATCTGCCTGGGTAGGGATCTCAAAACTCAGGCAATTAACAAAGGTGATGTGGGTAGTTTTAAGATAGTAGGTGCAAACTGTCTGTATTGAGTGCCAGCATAGCTTAGCTGCCTAGTTACATTGCCTATTAAACCACTGTGCTGGCCAGACTAATCAGCTAAGTAGTGCATGTTGGAGTTAGGCTGCCAGTTGTCAGACTTTGGGATCCAATACAGGAGATTACTGGCCTTAAGCTCTTCAGTGTGGGGTTCCTGCCTAAAACCAGCTTGGCCTTCTCAGTGGAACAGGATCTTCCCCTCCCACTTTGTAGTGCCATCTAGATTTCATGTCCAGAAACACAGGAATCCTCTTTCCTGCCTAAGGCCTGCCTCCTGTGCTCCTGTTTCCTGTGGATGCCCTGCCTCTTCTGAGAATGTCAAGACTAGGAATGTCTGCCTCTTTTATAGGAGATCCTGCTGCCACCCACAGGAAAGCAGCCAGCTATGTCCTCTGCAAGATAGTCATGCAGAATGCAACATGGCGAGCCCAGCACCAGGACAAGGATGCCCACACTTTTTTTCTTTGAGGAGGAGGGCTTTCCATGGGTTCTGTGTGAGTTATGCATTGACAGTGGGCAGGGGTTGCCCTTGAGAGCAGACCCAAGTGTTCCTAGCATTAGAAAAATTTCTCTGAGATTGCAGATTGCTATATGAGATTACAGATTGATTTATTTTGTGACAGTATCTTAGGAGTTCAATTCCTGGGCATCAAACCCCTGAATCCAGTCATTCTGGGACAGCTAAGTACCTGCATTTCAAGGCTAAAGAGACTGTCCCCCACCCCCATGGATCCTCTGCTTTCTCCTTGCATCACCTGCCTCACACAAATGTTTCTGTTCCTAAACCAAAAGGCAAATGAGTGGCGTTTCAAGTTTGAGAACTTGATGTTTACAGAGAATACAGCTCAGCACAAGGCAAAGGTAAACAAGCCCTGAAGAGTCCCTGGGAGTCCCAGTGCCTATGGCAGGGGTCCTCAAACTTTTTAAACAGGGGGCCAGTTCACTGTCCCTCAGACCTTTGGAGGGCCAGACTGTAGTTTACTAAAAACTATGAACAAATTCTTATGCACACTGCACATATCTTATTTTGAAGTAAAAAAACAAACAGGCAAAATCACCTGCATATGGCCCACAGGCCGTAGTTTGAGGACCCCTGGCCTATAGCATCATGCTTGGAGTGAAAATAGCCACGTGTTTCAGAAACTTCAAAAAGAAGATGAAGAAGTCTAAATTTCTACCATTCTGCACATAAGAGACTACATTGTAAATAGTGCATTGTTCAAGTGACTGAGTTTTTATGTACTTTATTTTGACTCTAGTACTTTTAGATCTTGCTGACTTTACAGAAAACAAAATTGAAAGCAGCCTTCTTTTGGGAGATTATATTAAAGCATTTTCTGCCACTGGCATTGAGCTGAAGGGATGGAAAGGACTTTAATTATAGACAACTGGATTTGAAGTCACCCAGTGGTGGTGACCTCAGACTCCCATCCTGGCAGGAGGAGCTAGAGATGTGTGTTCTCAGCCAGCTGGTCAGTATTAGGGGGGCCAGGGTGCACCCAGTTAAAGAATCTGAGCCAACACAAGCCTGTGCCTTTTAGAAAGGGCCAGTCTGGGCTCCCTTCTGCTGCTGCCTGCAAGGTACTTGCTGTGGGAACTTCTCTTTTGGCTACAGGCTGACTTTCCACTTTTGAGTGCCTCCTTGTGTCAGCCTTGCCCTAGGCATTGAGAATTTCTTGATGATCAAGATAGCTGAGGCTCCTGGCATCACTGGGCTTATGATCTAGTGGGGGAAGGTAATGGAAATAAACAAGCTAATTTTGGATTAAGATACGTGCTACGGGAGTGATCTCATAGACAGCAACCTCTGTGTATTGTATGGGCACTATTTCAGTAAGGGTGTCAGAAACAGCCACTCTGGGGCCTGAAGTGTCAGAGGACTCGGCATCCAGGCTGAGGGCAGAGCGAGGGCCCGGGCTCTGAAGCAGGAGATAACTCGGCCTAGCAAGGAGTTGTCAGAAGGTCAGCCTTGGCCAAAGTGCTGTGAGCAAAGGGGAAGGTGGCCTGGTAAGGTTAGAAAGGGAGGTAGAGGACAGCCCCAGCAGGCCTGGAGGAGAGGATTTAAGCAGGCCAGTGGCATAAACTGACTGGTGTTACAAAGATCTCAACACTGGTTGTAGAACAGAGTGAGGTGTGTAGGGGCAGAAGCACAAAGATAACACAAGGGAAGGCCCCCTGCTTGCTTTCCTTTCCTGGCGATTAAACAGATTAAACACTCACCTGCCTCCTGCAGTGCACACTGGCCAGCGAAGGAACTTGCTTCTGACCTATTGGCCCAGGAGGCTGGTAACAGTCAGGTTTGGGGTGGCAGCAAACAAACAGGGGGAGCTGCCTCCCAGGCGGTACCTCATGCCTGGAGAGAACAATGTGACCAACTATACCCAGCCAGGCAGGGAGAGGCCCAAACCCATCTACCAGGAAGAACAACAGCTCCCTCAGGCTCTCCCGGCCTCACTCAACTTCCTCCCAGCCTCCCCTTCCTTCCATCAGGCCTGGAGGAGTCACCGTTTACCAGAACAGGAGGGCAGCTCACTACGGAGTTTACTGACAGTTAACAATGCATTGCTAGTCATGGCGCTAAGTAGCCTTAAGGTGACAACACCAAGTGATACATGGACATATTACAGTGAGGGTGATTTAACCTTGAATGGGGGTGGAAGGGGGAGATCGTGTGTTTTAATTTTGATCGAATCTCTCATTTTGTAGCTCCAGCTCCATGCTGTAATGAGTTATTTTTTTTTTTATTTTTTTAATTTTTAAAATTTTTTTTATATTTTTGAAAGAGGGAGAACAGGAGGGGGGTGAAGGGAGGGCTGGGCAGCGGGTGGGGAAAGGGGAAGGCAGGTCACTGGGGAGGATGGGGAGGAGGAGAGGTAGGGCAGGTCAGGGTTAGCTGGGAATATGAGAAAGGAAGGGAAGGAGAAGAGAAGAAAGGGCGGGGAAGAGGGGAGGGCGCTGTAATGAGTTATTAATGAATTCAGTCTCAGCCAGAGCCCCTGTGTTTGTCGGGGCAGGGGGAGCGAGGTGGAGAGCTGGGTTTCATGGTATGTGGCATGGGGCTGGGCAAGCTGCCTGCAGAGGCATGGGGGCACATCAGCAGTGAAGGCTGGTGCCCTGGGTCACCACAGGTGGATGGTTTGTAGGTATGAGGAACACGGACAAGGCGCAGGGCTCAGGCTCACTGAGTCAGAGTCCCCAAGGGATTAGATCCCTGAGTTTTCTAGTGGATGCCTGGTTTGGGGATCACTGCTCTGGGCCAACCTCACCATGTTACAGGTGGGTGATGACTCGTCCAGGGTTGCCCAGTGCATAGATGGCACAGCTAGAGCCAGAACCCAGGTTTCCAGACACCCTGGCTCCTGACTTTTCCCATCTCATGGGGCTGCAGCTTGAGAGAGAGGTACAGGAGGGGACTGCCTGGCACCAGGACTGGATCTGGGTGGACCAGCCCTGTTTGATTTTCACACCCTGAAAGAAGCATGGGCTAATTCCCTGAAGGCAACAAGGTAATGCTGAGGGTGCATTTTGTGTTTCAGAACCACCAGGAGGAAGTGGGCCATTCTACCACTTGTTGCCACGATGCTGGCCACCCGCCTCTCCAGACTCCTGTCACAGCTCCCAGGAAAAACCCTCAGTATGTATGACAGAGAACATGGAGCAAGGTAAGCAACTAAGGGTGGAGATGGCCTTGAGGGTCACACTTTCTGAGCAAGCAGAGCCATTCACACATGGATGGAGCAGGCGGCGATGAGCTGTCTCTCAGTACCTGTGTCTGCTAGCAAAGGAAACCCAAAGGTGTCCTTGGAAGACAGACCTTCCCAGGTCTCACAGGGCAGAGAAGAATATCTTTCCTAATGGCTTTTTAAAAACCTCTAAAAATCACTTTAGACTTGTACAAAAGCTGCAAAAATAGTATAAAGGGTTCCCGGATCTCTTTCACTTAACTTCCTCAGATGCTGACACCTTACACAACCATAGTGCAATGATCAAAATCAGGAAATGACCATTGACATAATACTATTAACAAATCTATAGACGTTATTCAAATTTGCCAAGTGGCTCCCGGATGGGCCTCTCTTATCCTAGTTTCGACCATGTCAAGCCTAAGCTCATATATTAATAGCTTCCTTTGGCAGCCACATTGTACTTGTGCTTTGTGGTCGACCAGACTACATTTTTTTCACCAATGCTGCTGTGAGGCCATGTTTTTCCTGAGCTGCACTTGTGCACTGATATTTGTCCCTCTTAAGCCCCACCTTGTTAGATTAAGCCTGTCCAGTCAACTCATGGCTGCTCTGAGCAGAAAGCTGGGTTACTGGTTATTGTCGCTGATTCAACAAGCGGTAGAAATGCAAATTAAAACCACAATGAAATATCATGATATAGTTTTCAGCAGCATGGCTAAAATAGAAAATAGTGACACCACCAAATGCGGGCAAGGATATAGAGAAACTGGGTCATTCGTAATTGCTGCTGGGAATGGAGAATGCTACAGCCACTCTGGTAAATAGTTTACCAGTTTTGTAAAAAATTAAACATGCAACTGCCATGTGACCCGGAAATTACACCCGTGGGCATTTATCCAAGAGAAATAAAAACATGTGCACAAAGACCCATAGAGTAATGTTTATAGCAGCTTTATTCATAATATTTACAAACTGGAAACAACCCAGATGTCCTTGAGTGGGTAAATAGTTAAACTGTGTTACACCCATGCCATGGAGCGCTACTTAGCAATAAAAAGTAACAAACTATTGATACACAACATGTGGATGAATCTCCAGAGAATTATGGTTGCATGAAAAATGCCAGTTCCCATTATACTGTATGATTCCATTTGTATGAAATTCTTGAAATGACAGAATTGTAGAGATGGAGAATAGATTAATGATTAGAGAGGGTATGGGCTGGGAAGAAAGTAGGTGTAGGTATAAAGGGTAACAAGAAGGATCCTTGTGGTGATGGAAATGTTATGTATTTTTGCTGTATCAATGTCAATATCTTGGTTGATTATATCATATTGTACTATAGTTTTGCAAGATGCTGCCATTAGGGGAAATTGGGTAAAAGGGACCTGGCATCTCTCTGTATTATTTCTTAATTTCTTAACTGCATGTGAATCTACAGTTATTTCAAAATAAAAAGTTTAATTGAACAGAGCTTTGGGGATAGGAAGCTTAACCTACTGGGAGTTAAGACATTGACTTTGCAGAAGGCTTTAACAAAGCTCTATCACTTAAAGGATAGCACGTCCTTGCATTTGTCTGAAACATTACCTATTTATGTCACCTTGGTAAGCAGAAGATGGAGCTTTATTGGAGTGGGACACAGAACAGTCAAGTTTTGACAGGGCCTCCCAACAAAAGTAGCTTCTGGATTGGCATTATGCTCAGGAAAGCCCTTGCTGTACAGTGGCAAAGACAGCCACTGCAAATGCGGGCTCAAGCAGCCCTGCAGAAAGAAGGCCTCCTGCTCAGCCCTACCAGCAAGCTGTGTCCAAGAGCCTGGTGTGGGGAGACGGTCAGTGCTACTTTGGGCTGGGTAGTGGCTGAGGGTTCTCCCAGTTGCTTCTGCCCTGGAAATAAGGTCTGGGACCACAGCCCCCTGCTCATGGCTTCCTTTTCTCTTGCAGACGCCCACTGTTGTTTTGCTCTGCCTCCTTTATCCCAGTGAGCCGGACATATGCTGGTGAGGTGGACCCGGTGAGTGGAAGCCCAGCTACCTGGGAACCAGTCGGTTGGTCAGAGCCCTTCCCTCTGAGCCCCCTGGCCCTGAGCTATCTTCAGAGTAGGACTTCAGTGCTTCCAGGACATTCGCAGTCACTTTCTCCCTTACCCCTCCCCCAGAGCCCCTTCCTTCTACATGAGGGAAGCAGTAATGAGGAAGGTGTCAGTGGAGGTCTGGAGGGATCCAGAACTCTCATTCCATACCCAGCAACTTAGGGACTAAGAGTTTAGGATCTTGGCTGGGTGCGGTGGCTCACACCTGTAATCCTAGCACTCTGGGAGGCCGAGGCAGGCGGATTGCTCAAGGTCAGGAGTTCAAAACCAGCCTGAGCAAGAGCGAGACCCTGTCTCTACTATAAATAGAAAGAAATTAATTGGCCAACTAATATATATAGAAAAAATTAGCCGGGCATGGTGGCACATGCCTGTAGTCCCAGCTACTCGGGAGGCTGAGGCAGGAGAATTGCTTGAGCCCAGGAGTTTGAGGTTGCTGTGAGGTAGGCTGATGCCACGGCACTCACTCTAGCCTGGGCAACAAAGCGAGACTCTGTCTCAAAAAAAAAAAAAGAAAAAGAAAAAACCTGGTCTCTTGATCATGAGTCCAAGCTTTTGCAGTATACCACAGTTCTTCTCCACACAGCAAGGCCTGGGCGGCTCAGGAAGCACCAAATTTAATGCCCAGGGTGGGAAGCCTGGTCACTCTGCCACAGGACCTTGGGTTCCTAATGTGGGTTCTGACCTTCTAAAACAGGTTGGCAGCAAAGCTGTCCTGGTCACAGGCTGCGACTCTGGATTTGGGTTCTCCTTGGCCAAGCACCTGCACTCAAAAGGCTTCCTTGTGTTTGCTGGCTGCTTAATGAAGGTAAGAGATGGGTCATCTTCTCCACCTTTGTCCTTTATACATAGTCACTGTTTTGTGGTTTTTAAAAAATTGCTTTCCTAACATCTGGCTCATTTGTTGCTTAAAACAGCCTATATCTTTTCAACTGGCTTTAGTCTCACTTGTGCTTCATATAATAGCTTTGTCCATCCATCCATCCATCCACCCATCCACCCATCCACCCACTCATCTGCCAAATGCTAATGATGTGCCTGACACTTTGCTAGGTGCTGTAGAAGAATAAGACCTGGTCCCTGCCTCACAGGAGCTCACTGTCCAGTGGCGAGGGGACAGCCATGCATAGACACAGCTGAAGAATTAGAGTGAAGAACATTTTCAGGGATGGGCAAGAACATTCAATGAGAGTACGTAAGAAGATTGATTCTGGGCCATGGAGCATAAATAATGCTGTCATAGGTGGGCGCATGCCTGTAGTCCCAGCTACTCGGGAGGCTGAGGCAGGAGAATTGCTTGAGCCCAGGAGTTTGAGGTTGCTGTGAGGTAGGCTGATGCCACGGCACTCACTCTAGCCTGGGCAACAAAGCGAGACTCTGTCTCAAAAAAAAAAAAAAGTTTAGACTCTGGGATCTCAGCCCTAATTTCAATTCCAGCTCCATCACTAACTACATTGAGCATTAAAACATACCTCTGTTTCCCACTTATAACATGGTATAGTAATCATACTTACTATATAGGGCTATTGTGAGGATTAAATAAAAATAGCGTATGCGAAGTGCCTTGCACATGATAGATATTTAATAAACACTAGCTCTGATGATAAAGATGCTGAAGACAATGGTAACAATGGTGATCATAGATGAGGAAGCTAAGATTCTGAAAGCAAAAGTGATTTCCCTAGGCAGCATTGTCAATTGTTGATAGAGTCTGAGTTAAAACCTGGTCTCTTGGCCGGGAGCGGTGGCTCTCGCCTGTAATCCTAGCACTCTGGGAGGCCGAGGCAGGCGGATTGCTCGAGGTCAGGAGTTCGAAACCAGCCTGAGCAAGAGCGCGACCCCATCTGTACTACAAATAGAAAGAAATTAATTGGCCAACTAATATATATAGAAAAAATTAGCCGAGCATGGTGGCACATGCCTGTAGTCCCAGCTACTTGGAAGGCTGAGGCAGGAGGATCGCTTGAGCCCAGGAGTTTGAGGTTGCTGTGAGCCAGGCTGATGCCACGGCACTCACCCTAGCCTGGGCGACAAAGCGAAACTCTGTCTCAAAAAAAAAAAAAAGAAAAAGAAAAAACCTGGTCTCTTGATCATGAGTCCAAGCTTTTGCAGTATACCACAGTTCTTCTCCACACAGCAAGGCCTGGGCGGCTCAGGAAGCACCAAATTTAATGCCCAGGGTGGGAAGCCTGGTCACTCTGCCACAGGACCTTGGGTTCCTAATGTGGGTTCTGACCTTCTAAAACAGGTTGGCAGCAAAGCTGTCCTGGTCACAGGCTGCGACTCTGGATTTGGGTTCTCCTTGGCCAAGCACCTGCACTCAAAAGGCTTCCTTGTGTTTGCTGGCTGCTTAATGAAGGTAAGAGATGGGTCATCTTCTCCACCTTTGTCCTTTATACATAGTCACTGTTTTGTGGTTTTTAAAAAATTGCTTTCCTAACATCTGGCTCATTTGTTGCTTAAAACAGCCTATATCTTTTCAACTGGCTTTAGTCTCACTTGTGCTTCATATAATAGCTTTGTCCATCCATCCATCCATCCACCCATCCACCCATCCACCCACTCATCTGCCAAATGCTAATGATGTGCCTGACACTTTGCTAGGTGCTGTAGAAGAATAAGACCTGGTCCCTGCCTCACAGGAGCTCACTGTCCAGTGGCGAGGGGACAGCCATGCATAGACACAGCTGAAGAATTAGAGTGAAGAACATTTTCAGGGATGTGCAAGAACATTCAATGAGAGTACGTAAGAAGATTGATTCTGGGCCATGGAGCATAAATAATGCTGTCATAGGTGGAGACTAGTAGGAGTGATCTTCCAGACAGAAGGCATAGCCTGAGCATAGGCCTGAAAGCTCAGGGTCATTTGGGACACATCGAGTGGAATGAAGCACTGACACATGAGGCTACGAGAATAAGCAGGGGAAAGTCCCTCAATTTAGAGAGTTGTGCAACCATCACCACAGTCCATTTCTGGAACATTTCCATCTCTCACAATCTCCCTCTTGACCATTTACAGTTAATCCCTACCCCTGCTCTATCCTTAGGCAGCAACTGATTGCTATTAGATTTAGGTTTTCTGGACATTTCATCTACATGGAATCATACAATGCATGGCCTTTCATACCAGGCTTCTTTCACTCAGCATCATGTCTTTGAGATTGATCCATGTTGTAGAATGTATCAGTAGTCCATTCCTTTTTATGGCTGAATGGTATTCTATTGTATAAATATACTAGATTTTAAAACATCTATTGACTAGTCGATACCTATTTGGATTGAAGTGTTTGGATTTTTGGTTATTATGAATAATGCTGTACATATCTGTGTGTAGACATGTGTCTTTACCTGGTTCCTTTTAACGAAATTTGCAAACCAAAGTCTGGGCATTAGGTGTGCTCATTGCTCATGGGACATGGGGCATGGCTGATCTCTGTTCCTCTCCATGGACAGAGCTGGAAGATGTATATATAATCACACACACATATGCACACGCTGTATTTATATCTGTCTCATATATATGATGTCACTAGAACCTCATTTATTTTACATTTGTAAATATAAAATAAATATAAATATAATAATAAATTATAAAGTTATAAATATAAATGAGAGCAACCCAGGCTTGGGTGGCCGAGGCATCCATGCCGCAGTGAAGGTGTGATGGCCGGGAAGGTGTGGCTATCAACTGCTCCGGCAGCAGGCTTTCCTGCAGGACAGTCTGAGCGATGCATCTCCATGGTCACCACGGTAGAGCTTAATGGTTTTTTCGGCTATTGACTGAGGGTTTACAAAATACTGTTTTAAAAATCTACTTGGATTAATTCTTGGTTTTCTTTGTCATTCTATTTATTTGACATACAGGGCCATTTATTTACTTGTTTATGTTTTGTTTTCCCCCATTCTTGTTGATGTGATTTAATTTTTGAATATGTAAGCCTTATTATTAACAAGACTATAAAGTCAAAATTATATAAAAGGTACACTCAAAGTGGTGTTACTGCCCCATCTATCTTTTCCTCTCTATTCTCTTTATTTCCCCCATTTTACCCAAATGTTTGCACATTGTATACACTCTTTTGTACTTTTAAAAAAATTAACAACATATCTTGGAAATGAGTCCATATGACTTCACAAAGATCTTCTTCATTTTTTTAAATAGCTTCACGGTACTCTACTGAGTGGGTAGACCGTAATTTACTCTGTTAGTCTTCATAGATGAACTTTTGCTTTTAGGTTGTTTTCAATATTTTGTAATTACAAATAATGCCAACCATGTGACTATGTATTTTTGTATTGTTGGAGGTTTATCTTTAGGGTAATTTCCTAAGGGTGAAATTACTCTTAGGTCATAAGGTAAATAAAACATGTTGTTATTGAAGATAGTCCCAAATTTCCCACCACAGGGGGGTTGTGTAATTTTACATCCCCATCAATAGTGTATGAGTGCCTGTTTCCACACACTTTCACCAATAGAGTCTGCTTCAAGCTTTTGGTTTTTGCCAGTCTGATAGGTGAGAAATGTATCTCAGTGTAGTTTTAATTTTTATTTCTCTTATGTGTACACACCCCTGTTATTTAAGAGCATGCCCCAGAAACTGCACATATATTACCTGTGCTCTCATTCTATTGGCCAGAACTTAGTCATCTGGCCTTACCCGGCCACCAGGGAGGCTGGGAAATGTAGTGGGTATTCTGAGACAATATGTACCTGACTGAAACATCAGGTGCTCCACTGCTGTAGAAGAAGGGAAGAATGGATGTTTGGGACAATTTGCTGTCTCTGCCCCGTGAGTGAGACATTTTTCCTTATTTTGAAGGCAGCAGGAACCCAAGGAAGGAATTTTTATATTGTATTTGATATGTCTGTGAAGTTTGATATCTGTTCAATATAAAAGTTTCAATAATAAAAACAAGTACGAGACATAAAGTAATTATCATTGCCATGCTCTTAACATCATTCCAAATCAGAGAAGGTTTTGTTTGTCCTTTTAATCTTCTTTTGAATTGTAAAAATAATAGTATGTAGTATAATAAATTCAAACAATACAGAAGTGTATGATGGACAAAGAGTGAAGTCTTCCCAATCTCTTGCCCCAAGGTAACGTAAATGCAGGTATATGCATAATTTGTTATTTTTACAAGTTGAGTATCCCTTATCCAAAATGCTCGGGACCATAAGAGTTTTGGATTTTAGATTTTTCCGGAATTTGGAATATTTGCATTGTACCAACCAGTTCAGCATCCCTGATCCAAAAATCTGAAATCTGAAATGCTCCAGTGAATCTTTCCTTTGAGTGTCATGTTGGCGCTCGAAAAGTTTCAGATTTTTGAGTGTTTCGGATTTCAGGTTTATGGATGAGGGAAACTCAGCCTGCGTAATCAAAGCCACAGCGAGTTGCCTCTCACATACATCTTTGCCTGCTTTCACTGGCAATTCCTAGGACAATCTTGTGGATGTGAAAGTGCTAGTTGGAAAGGAGCGCAGGTTTTAGGTTTTGTTCAAATCTGCCAAACTGCTTCCCTAAAAGCCTCTCCACGGTCTCCTCCTCCTGGCAGCACATGAGAGAACCTGCTTTCTCATGAGGGTTGGTGGGGGGATGGGTGTGACCTGCTTGGAGCTGGGTTCTCTGCATAATGTGGACTTGCCACAGCAGGTCCTGGTAGGAACTGTGATGCCACATAAACATTTTAAATTCCTTTGTCATATGTTCAGTGTCTGTGACATTGTCCTAATTTGTCTAGAGACACAGGGAGCCACAATGCAGGGCAGAGGTTGCTCAGTGCTGCAGAAGAGCCTTCAAGAGG